TTAATTAAACAAGGGTTTTTTGTTTTTTGTTGTTTTTTTTTTTTTTTCAGTCATTCAGATCACCCCACCGAGCTGAATTCTGTATTTGCTTATACCAGCAACCTTCAGCGCTTGCTAAACCAAGGCGTCACTGAAGTGGCTCTAGAATTGCATTCATATCAGCATGTGAAACACAGACTTCAATGAGACTTCAGTTAGATTTCATGCTTCTTGGGAAAGTAGTTGCGTGTTTGTGCTACTTGGTTCTAGCTTTAAGCAGGATGGGCAGACAGTCCTATAAGGCAAATAACAGACCTCCTCCTGCAAAACTGCAGAATTAGGCTTTACTTTTTAGCAGAAGAGATTCTACCAGCACCAGTTGTTCCACACAAGCCACCTTTGTATGCATTTTCTTAAGCACAATAAAGTCTGAAAATGCAACCTTCCCCTCCATCCCCTGAAAGCCCAACCACTGGTACTCAGGACCCAAGTTCAGGGCTGCCAGGTGTTGGCAAAGCGGAGGGACCCACTGGGCTCCACTGGAGCCCCATTTCCCTGAGACAGAACAATTGCTCTAAATGAAATCAGAATTTGGCCCTGACTTCTTCATATAATAAAATGCCAACGGCTCAATTCTCCTGCTTCTCACACCCCTCTAAATGACCAGGCATCCCTGCAAACAAAGTCCTGACTAGTGTCAGTCAAAATATCAGAATCTGACTTTTAGTAGTTATCACTGTTTCTTTAGCCTTGAAATAGAAACTGCTGCCACTTCTGTGCATGGACGGAAAGCTTCCCTAGTTTCCCTGTAACTTAATTATGTGTCCTTTCCAGCATCTGCCAAACTGCTGCTTAACGCATTCTGGCAACATGCCTCTCATATATTGCAGCAGATACAGCTCGCAATGCGCGGAGCTTATCATGGGGTATTAATTACTTGAGCATAAATAACATTCCCTCTTATCTCAGGTTCATAATCCACTACTTCTGATGGAAATATGTTCATAATAAGAAGTGAGAGAAAACAATGAGGGGGTAAATTTAAGCCTAAAATGAGTGACAGGTCTTGCAATGAGTGAAAGTTAAAGCCAGACAAATTAGAATGAAAAGTGAAGGTAAGTTTCTGACAGTCACATTGATTAATCCCTGGAACCAACCACCAAGGCAAGAGCTGGATTTTTCATCTCCAGGTATCTTCAGATCAGTCTAAGAAACATACTTTAGTCAAAACAAATAGTCTTGATAAGCGTAAGGCTGGAAACTCATACAGGAGAAAAAAAAGATACCAGGCATACAGGTCACCTTGGCCATTTATGAGCACTAGTGGCACTGCACAAGAACAGAGCAGTTAAAAAGCTGGGCTGGGAAAGCAACTGATACAATAAAATGACTCTGCTTGCAGGGCTCCCTCCCACTCCAATCCCCAAACCCTCAAACAAAATCAAGCAGAACGACAAAGCCTTTACTGTAAGCAACTCTTCTCTCCTGCCTCCAGTCACAGCTCATTAAACTCTCTTGCATTAGAAGGGTGTTTCCCAACTATCCTGCCACAAGGAGAAAAATAAAGAACAAGAAACGTAGCTTTTCTTTGCTCAAAAACTCTCATTAATGATTGCAGGACAGAAACACAGACCTGAAATTAAATTACTTGCATGCCTCTGCACTGCTGAGGGTTATGTGATGTATTCGTGTCGTGCAGTGCAGGGTTTAGCTGTGTGGTGACGGAAAAGCTTTTCAACATGTAGGTTTGCCTGCTGGAAAGACAGCGGGGGTGGTTATGCCTGCTTGCAGGCACCTGGACTCACGATGAATAATCCAGTCCTCAGGTGGTGTCTTAAAAGTCAGGTATGGAAGAGTGTGTGGGGGGGTGTTTGTGAATAACTGTGTACGCCTTGTGTACACGCACAACGGGGTAGCTGTCGCGTGTGTGGTAGGAGCACCAGCTATTTTATGTACACAGACACTTATACAAGTGTATGCTATTGTGGATGGCTACTGTGAATTTTGCTTATCAGTGATACATTTATTAGGCAGATGTAATTATTCCATGTTTTGAACGTCTATTTTTAGCTTGTTTACTGGGTACATTATATAAATATGAATGGTTACTTGTGCATGAATAGTGTGTTTACAGGTTATAAATGTTTCTTGTGGAGTATTAATATTTTTGAAAGTACAGAGGCTGATGAGTGTGTAGTATATATTGGATATTTATGTGGGTGGACATATCTATGTGAGCTATTTCAACTCACACTGATGCAGACTAGTATTTAAATGTTCATTACAGCAAAGAGTGGGTCTTTCATGCTTTTATTTCCATGGTTTATTGTCCTGCACAAGCTTGGGGAACAGCAGGGAAACTGCTATCATTTTCAGAGATGACAATTCTGGAAGAGGAAGAGGCTCTCTCCCTTACTTTCAGAAAAGTTGAACACGCTCACTAAATTAAATCTCTCTTTGGGATATGTTTCAGGCAAAGGAGAACACAGGACAGTCTCAGGGCCTGCCTGAAATGCTTTGGAAAGGGCACAGCCTGATTGCATTACCAAACCCCACATAACTGATTGCCAGGCTACACAACTTGGAAATATGGTTCCCCATCTTCTATATACCAAAAGCAAGGTGCTTTCAGCTCTGGAGGATATTCTCCTCCAGGATCCACTCAGCTTATTAAAAACCACAGGAGGATGTTTCTCCTATTCTACAGAAGTCAGGGAATTCCTTTCGCTACCGCTCACTGTGGCGCTGTTGGGAGCATCGATTCAAAAGGTTCTCGGGCATATTTGCAGATTTCAAACACAGAAATAGCCCATGAAGCCAACAGAGTACACAGCGGCCGAAGGGCTTTGCTCAAGAGGGGAGAAACACACTTCTGCCTTACTTCCCACGCGTTGTAACGGATTGGCACCCCGCGCCACTACGCACCGTCCAGCGAGTATTCTGCTAGCAACAACTGATGTGCAGCAACCAAAATTCCTAGCGTGTAGGGTATACAATTTCTCAGACTTGGCAATACTGGGAAAGAGCAGTTCTGTGTGATGAAATCTCAAGGGCAATGACCAGATGAAGCAACTTTTTGATTATTTGAAGATGGCTAGCTTCTCTCTGGAGGGCCACAGCCATGAATGAGAAGAAAGGTGCAGATGCAATCCAGTGCCATTTTCCAGGCTCTCTATCTCCAGCATCACGTAAGGGACCCAGCAAGCCCTCTCTCATGTTGAATCGAGCTGGGCAAGTCAGCTCGATGGGCAGAGCTTATATACCATCTCTCTGAGGGGCTGAAATTGCCTCTGACATGCACAGACTAGTCACAGTTTCACCTTCCATTACTACCCCCCTACACTAGGAGTTCAGCTACAGAATCATAAATTCTGAGAAATAATTTTGACACACAATTATTTTGCAGAGGTAGGCTGAGAAGTGAGGGTCTCAGGAAAAGAACAAACCCTTCTCAGAAATATCTCCCATTTTCCTCTCTCTGTTCCTCTGATGTTTAGTATGGAAAAAGAGGAAGCTAAGCAAAGAAATAAAATGAGACCTTTTTGAAAAATAATGCTCTCTCCAGCTCTGCAAGATGCTTTCTAGAACTGATGAGCATTTCAAATGAAGTTACTTCACTTCAAAACTTACTGTATAACATACGAGTAATTCCTATATTCTGGAAGCCAAGCTGACTGCTGGCTTTTAACACGGTATTATATATAACAGAGTCATCCCAAGTTCATTTTTCCAGTCCCTTCAGAAAGAAATACACATGTCTATCTACACTGTAACATTAGGTCTCTCATTAAATAGTATCTTTGATCCCTATAAATAGTATTCTACTCTTTGTTTGCATGTCAATAACACCACTGCTTTCTATTTTCAGTTTATCTTGTCCTTATATTAATATCAAGAGGCAAAAACTTATTTAAGATCCCTAGTGTGCATCTCAGTCTATCTCTACTACAATGTCTATATATTTCACATAGATATAAATACAGTCCTCCCTATATGTAAAACAACTCTTGCATATTATATATTCTTCAAGAAATAAAGTTCCATTCTGATAAAAAAATAATCGGCGGGTATCTTATTTTTTTCACCTAATTTTGGGGGTAAGAAAAGAGATTTTCCCCAAAAAGGCCTTTTTTTTTTTTTTTTTTTTTTCTGTGCTGTTCAAATTTCTGTAAATTTTTCATCTCACAGACTAGTTTTCTTCACCTCTTTTCTGGACATGACAATCCCCTTTGGGAAAGTATGGTTCTACGCCTTCCTCCTTGCAAAGACCAAAATTGCTAACTCAATTTGGTGCCTCACAGGAATAGCGATCTTAATTGTGCTGCAGGACAAAGCATGCCTAAAACACTTGAAGAAGTTGCTGACAGGTTAGCATCAGACCTCCAGAGATGCCACTGCTTGCCACTGACAGATATGGGCAACTGATCCTGCTTTTTGGACACCAATTAACGTGCTTGCACTAGCCCAACCAGATGGCTTCGGTTATGCCAGTGCATGTTCCCTTTAGCTATGGGAACACCAGCATCTAACCCTTTATTTTAAATACATACTTTTACAGAAGAGCAGAGAATTTTGCAAACTGTTTCTTACCCAGTCTACTCCAGGGACCCTGTCTGAAATTCCAGAACATTTCAAATTCCCAGGTGGCTACTTACTTCTTTTTAAATCGTCAACCGGATCCGAAACTGGGACATCCAGGCCAGAAAAAACCTTCAGTGTGGCAAGATCTGAACTTTCTCTGATCATTGACAGCCTGTGAAATGTGTCAGAGATTCCATGAGAAGATTACACAAAGACAGCACTTCAGTTTGAGAAGACAGTCAAAAACACTGGATAAACATGCTAAAGGTTTGCAGGGAAAGTTGTCCTGTTAATATCAGACATTTTGCAGGAGACAAATCACAATGACCATGATCCTGGAGGATAATGCTAAAATCTATTTGTAAAAATCATCACGGTAAAACACTTCACTACATACCAGAGAATTGGGGTTTTTAAATTCTTCTTTTAATTTAGCAGTAACAATGTCTACAATACATTGACTCACAAATTAAGTGAAGGTATGAAACCACATTCTTTATACTGAGATGGTACATTCTGGATTTTTACTTTTTAAATACCTTCTCAAGGGGGAAGAGTTCTGAACATCCAATGAACATCTTTTGAAACAACCAGTGGCGGGGATTTCAATTTTAACAGTGATCATGTTTAGTGAGCCTTGTCCACAGAGATCAAAACGCTTTGCAAACAAGTGCAAAGCTCAGAACCTCACTGTACAGACAAAAGGGGAGGGAAACTGAGGCACAGTGCCGTGCAGTGACTGGCCAGGATCAAGCAGCAGGCAGCAGAGATCTGGACGTAAATCTCAGCTCTCTGGCTCCCGGTCAGTTCCTGACTTTGCCAGGCCAGTCTCCCGGGAAGTTTTTGTGGGTATCTCCTGTCCAGCAGCTCGGGTGTTATACAGGATTATCTTCTTTCACCTCTCCTGCTGTCCCGTTGGCTCCGTTCAATCCTGCTGGCTCCCTGCCTTCTTCCTCTTCTTCTTCTTCCTCTTCCGCTGTCTCTGCTTCCCTGCCTCCGCTCAGGAGGGTGGCACTGGAGAGGTGGCTGAGGAGCTGGCCCTCCCGGCGAGACTCGGCCAGCTCTTTGGCACAGCACACCGGCGTGTTGGTCTCGTAAGTGCTATGGAAGCTGTTATAGTCGACTTCGTAAAAATCCTTCTCCAGGGTGAGGACAGGAGTGAAGCGATGTCCCCACAGCACCTCGGTGTCCATGTAGGAGCTGCGAGCCTGGCAAGTCATCCCTGAGTAGAAACAGAGGGATGTTAAATGCAAAGCTTCCTTACATGCTCACCCAACCACTTCTTTCATTTAAGAGCACTTTCATGTTATCTCCATACCTGATTGCTCTGGGACACAGAAAAGGTCTTCGCTTAATAAGCCTCACAAAAGCCTCTATAATGAAAAAGCTGAGCACTCAAAGGAAAAGGGATGGATTCATCGCCGCATCTTCAGACTGTTTCCTCAACCTTGTGCTTATGGGTTTGAAGTCTGGTGCCACTAAGCAGCTTCTCCCTCTCCTCACATTGCTCTGCTGAGGTGTTGCTTGCGTGGCTGATACTAAAAGCACTTGTGGTGAATCGTGCTAGAACGATACCCAGCCCTGCCAATGCACCTCAAATCCTGACCCACACAGCCCCTAAGTAGAATGAACCTGCTGTCCCACTGTGCCAGACCCCATCCCTCTTCATCTACAGCAGTGTCAGCAAGTCCTTCCTGCACTTAGGTTAAGACACCAAGACGTAGAGCTTGAAAGGTGGTGAGGCTGGCTTGTAAATACCTCTGGAGGGTTCAGTCCAACCTTACCGGGTTGGCAGAACCAAACCCCGCAACAAGAGGCAGTCAAGCTCATAAGCATATTAAATTCCATTTATTAATGGCGTGTGAATCGGATGAACAGTGAGCAATGTGAAACTGATGTTTGCCAAGCTGCTTCTCAACCCCAAGGATCAGAGTTTATTTATGTACTTTTAAAAAGTTTCAAGAGAAGCTTTGAAGAGCAGGGATAAACATTCAGCATTGGCGTAACTGAGAACAAATTATCTTGAAATCATCCACCAATGTCAAGGCTGAATTCTCTTTCAAATATTTGTTTTCTCTTTGTCCTAGTTATGTTATGATTTTTGAATTGATTCTGGTGAAATTTGGAAAACCTGACCTCAGAAAGTCCTCCCATTGTTCTCCTTTGGAGGGTGAGAGATAGGCCTGACTGGAAGACATTCAAAACATGCATTTCATCCAGTTCCTGGCCAATACTTCCAAGTCTAACTCCTGCAGCCCGAAGTACACAAACAGAAATCTAAAGCAATGGTTAGGTGGAAAAACATCAGTGTCAGATGCTTCAGGGAAGAGAATATCATGTATTCTCACCACGTGAGCTCAACTAATTGACTGAAATCTCAGAGTAATCAGAAAACTTCCCTTAAAAAAAAAAAAAAAAAAGGCATCTTTGTGAAAAGATTACTATTTTGTTCTCATAATTGCTACAGTCCATTAAAAGACACCCACACAAGCAAGCTCTCTGGAAAGCTTTACTTGTCTCTTACTGCTTTCCTTAGTTTAAAGATATCAGGCCAGGAGTATATTAGTTGCTTTTGGTTCTTGAAAGGGGAAAAGAGGGATGGTGATACATGCAACACTGAGAAATTTCCAGTTCTGTATCCCAGACCGAAAAGCCAATTTTTCCCCCCAAGAAGATCTGCAGAAGTGTTTGCTTTTGGGCAGGAACAACAAGTACAGAGCTAGCCAGAGTGTTCTAGCCTGCCTGCTTCCTGCACTGGAAGGAGCCGGGAAGTGCAGAGGCTGCTATGAAAAATACAATAATGGAAGACGAAAAAACACCCCAAGTGTTTTTGCCTTAAGAAGAAGCTCTACTGAGGTATAGCATCTTTTCAGGAAACTTGTCAGTTTTCGCTTTGCAAGTAAAAAACAGGGTGGAGACTACTCCTGACTATATGGTGACACTTCAGTGGGCAGCATCACCCACCCCGACTCCTCAGTCCTCGGGGTGAAGACTGGGGAACCTTCAGTCCCTTGTATCAAGTAGCGAAGAGCAGCTTAATGTTCAGGCAGTTCATGGCATCCTGCTGATTTCTGAGTCCTGCTACAGTTTTTCTCAGGAGAGCCGTGTCACTTTTGACCTCCCCAGGCAAGAGCTTTCATTACAGGCTGCTCTGAGGGTCAGCAATGCAAGGCTAATCCCATTTTCTGATGCTCCCTCACGCTGGGAGGACAGACTGGTAGACAACCAGCGGCATGTGCGCGTACGGGAAGGAGGCAGGTGGAATAAAGTGTCCCTTTTTCCTTTAGACGGAGCTGGTTTTGCACCAGAAATCACGAAGGACTTCAAGTGCCTCCTCCAAGCTCCAAGCGCCTTCAAAGCCCAGCAAAGCGAGCGGGAGAGGAGAGCGCCCAGGCTCACAGGATTAGGTCCTGTGAATGAACCCGCTGGTTCCTGTCACAGCCCTCCACGGGCTGCATAAAGGCATCGTGTAGAAGTCCCCAGGGCCAAGATGGAGTGTCCCTGCTAAACGTGGGGGCCTGAGGCATCCTAAGGGAACTCCTGCCTTATAATCAGGGCCTGAAATAGCTCCTTCCCCGGGGGGGAGTACCTGACAGTGAACCTGAACTCCAGAGACACAATCATAGTTATCTCCTGCTGTAGGGATTCAATTAAGGGAGGAACAATAGAAAGCTTTCAGCAACCAAATACTGCACACTGCCAGCTTCCTGCAGTAGCTGCTTTCTGTAACCCCAGGGGTACACAGAGCCAGCACAATAAGACGACTTGTAATTGCTCCATAATCCCATTCAAATATTCCTTTTTAGCACATGTGCAGTGGTGTTTTAATTGCGTGGGGACATACTGCTTGGCAACTCCTACATTACCCAGTAAACAACAGCATTGTCTCTGCTTCAAATGCCATTAAGTGCCTGTTTTTCAGGCTGCCCTGTGCTCTCCAGCCTGGTTAATTAATGCATCTGTAATGTCCCTAGCTAATTATTGCCTCTCTAACTGCAGAAAGATGACAGAAGAGGTGTGGAAACAATAAACCTTAACTTTTATTAAGAGCACATGGATGCAGCCACTTTCCACTTGCCTACGATGTGCACTGTGCCCTTGGTGCTCTGGGTGTCTAAGTTTCAGCTTGCAGTGGGGCAGAATAATTCGCTAGACTAAGATCTTTCATACCTGGCTGGGGGCTCTCGGCAAAAATCAGCGGTTTCATTTCATGAGCCTTGCTTATCCAAGTCCATGGCACATCGTGGGGTTAGCGAATCATCAGGCTGTACGCTCAAGCCCTGTCTTGGGCAACCCTGAAGCACGGACATGTCAGAGGGCACAAGAAATCAAGGGAGATTTCAAGTTCTCATAATTTCTTGAAAAATTAATAGTAGTATTTATGGCCTTGATAAAGGCTGTTAATCCTTTTCTTAAAGTAGATAGAACTATGCATTTGGGGTTTAAATGTTAGATATTTGGTATAGCTATAGAGAAGTGGTATTTGGTGACTTGGTCATTTCATTTAAATAAGCTTCATGCCAAAAGAATATCCTCATTTCCCCTTTGAAAGGCTAAGTAGATGTGCTTCAAAACTTATTTAAAAATAGAGTCATAGAGATTTTTATTTTTCCAGTATATCATATTTTCCAGATAGTAATACCATTAGAAGTTTAATTTTCTCCTAAACAATCTGGTTTAAAAATTAAAAAGCATGTTTAGTGGAATTTTGTACAGTCTGTCAGTTGTGGAAAATTTGAAGTGATATGTGAAATCTTCAGCTTTCAAGTTTTAGTTACAGCTTTCTCATCTCCTAATTCAGCAGCTTAGCTTTCAGTTGCAAACAAAACTCAATTTTAATCGAAACCAGGAAAAAGTTTGTTCAAAGTTATAAGCAGATGCACCAAGTTTTCAATAAAGCTGGAACCAGTTCCAGGCTTTCTAGAAAGCTGGAGACCAGAGGACTGTCTCCTGGTTTCAAGTTCTGCAATAAACATTTCATAGAGTTTTAAGGATAATTTCATTACAGCAGAATCCTAAGAAGTGGACTTTTTGTCTGTTGGCTGGAGTCACTGCATGACAGATCGATAACAGAGTTTGTGCATGTTCCTTCTTAAGGCAGCCATAGCTGCTTTCCTAAATGGCTCGTTTCTGGTTTCCAGTAGATGAAAAGATACAAAATATATTGCTATGTGTATTAAACCAGGTGTTTCATTACATTTGAGAAAAGAGAGAGTCACCGAGGAAAGACTTTTGTGTAAAATAGGTGTCAGGGAACTCTACCAATAAGGCACTTTTCTGTCATCAAAATCAGTTGGGATCAAGCAGCTTACGTTTTATCAAAGACAAAGGAATGTTAATACGTGCTGACAAAAAGCGGTTATTTGATGGCTCGCTCAGTGAGGAGCCTGGTTTGTTCTGCAGCGTACTCAATGGGAGTTGCAGATTTTGGAACGTTTCACTGCTTGCAATGCCCCTGATTATGCAACTGGAGCAGACACTTCTGGCTCTGCCACACTGCTAGGAAAAGTAGAGATTGCTCCAGATTTCCAGGTCTTGTATACCTGTAGGTTACCAGGGAAAATCAAACTTCATTATCACAGGCCAAATCTCACTGCATTTGCAGCTGTTTTATTACCCAGAGATGAACCGGCAGACTCTCTCCAACCCTTGGAGGATGCATATTTTCGTCAAACGTACCGTCATAGCCAGTACCTTTACTGGCAGTTCAACGGGAGAGGGCAAGGGGAGCACAAAGCACGACCTACCAACCCAAGAAATTGCCACAGGCTTCCATTTGATCACATCAACAGTAGAGCTGAATCTTTCAGTACTGCTACGTGACCTGAACTTTCTCAGTGGGTAGAGATATCCCAACCCCTGGGGCTGTCAAGACAACATTTTTCATCAGCCTAAAATTAACTCTCCTCATTTAAATGCCACAGAGCTCAGTGATTATCTGCTGGCAAAATGTCATGTGGATGCTGACTGTATGTTTGCCATATTTGCTAGGCTCTCTCTGCAGTTCAGACACAGATACTGCTGGGAGTGATTTCACTTCTCTGTCCTTGTTTTCATATGCTATTATATGCAGGGTGACTTTTTCCCCTGTACTGGGTGCACTAAACCTGCCTAATACATACCCTGCTCCTTGAGCTGAGCTCTACCTACACTAGAAGAGTGCAGAGAAAGAATTGATGGACTCAGAATTATAGTGACTGACTGAAGGAAGTTAAGATGGCA